AGACCGCTGGAGACCATCCGCCAGGTGTGCCAGTTCATGTCGCGTCGGAACGCGGTGTGTTCGGTTTCACCGAACCCGTACAAATATTGGGAAGCCAAACGGGTGGAAATCTGAATGAACTTGTCACTGAAGGTGAAGGTCGGGAGCTGAGAATCCCAGCTGAAAGGAAGGGAAACAGAGGAAGCTGGTGGCCATTTTTGCTCTGGGTGTTGCTGGTGATCGCCCTTCCAAGGCCAACTCTTTTTCTCTAAAAATCTCATTATTCACAGAAGTTGGGATAAAAGTGTCGCAGTTATCAAGAAAACATTAAGGTTTTGAGTTTAATGGGTTTGAGGTGGTTTTTCTAGACTTCACATTTAAGGGGGTGGGGGCTGTGCATTTTATGTTAAAACATTTGGTGTAAATAAGTTTTTTTCTCTATTAAAAACTGAGTAGCGATCCAAGAGCGTTCTGCCAGAGGTGCAAGGGGCTGGACGATGGAAGGGATGATTTGCTCTGGCTGGCAAAAAAAAAGAACTCAAATTGCAATTCAATTTTGATGACTTTACAGAATGGCAAAAATTCAATTTTAAATCAAAAAGCGTAAGATGAAAAAAAACCCAAGCAAGCAGAAACACAAAACCCCTTCTTAAACAACACAGCGGGCACCTAAGAAGAGCATTAGAAAGTGTAGAAAACTCTTCTTTCTCCTAGGTACTTGGGAAGTGCCTAAAAATCAGTGTTTGTAAATGTCTACACTTTCTACCAGAAGGCCCTTTCCAGGCTGGATCCATGGGCCCAGCCCAATTGTGTGACAGTCAAGAAGGCAAAGGGCCGGGTCACCACAACCCCACGCAGCACTACAGGCGTGGGGCAGAGCAGCTGGAAAGCTGCCCGGCGGAAAAGGACCTGGGGGGTGTTGGTCAATGGCCAACTCAACACAAGCCAGCAGGGTGCCCAGGTGGCCAAGAGGGCCAAGGGCATCCTGGCTTGTCTCAGGAGTGGTGTGGCCAGCAGGAGCAGGGCAGGGAGCGTGCCCCTGTGCTGGGCACTGGGGGGGCCGCCCCTCGCG